GTTCATCTCAGTAGATACAGAAAAAGCATTTGATAAAATTCAACATTACTTCAATGCAAAGACTTTGGACAAATTAGGTACAAAATAAATATTATAAAAGCTGTATATGACAAACCCATACCACTGAGCAGGCAAAGGCTGGAAGCATTTTTCCTAAGGTCTGGAACAAGACAAGGTGACTACTCTTATCACTCTTATTTGACGTAATATTGGAAGTTTTAGCCAAAGCAATTAGTCAAGAGAGAGAAATAAAGGGCATACAAATAGAAAGGGAAAAAAATCAAGGTATCCCTGTTCACAAATGCTATGATTCTATATAGAAAAACCTAAAGACTCTACTAAAAAACTACAAGAACTGATAAAATAATCAGTGAAGTTGCAGCATAGAAAATTAATGTTAACATAAGCATTTTATATGCCAGTGATGAGATTGCTAAGAATAAGATTATGAAAGGAATCCTGTTCACAATAGCTATAAAAAATAAAATACCTAGGAATAAATTTAACCAAGAAGGAAAAGGACTTATACCAAAAAAAAAAAAAAATTTGCAAAACTCCTATGGAAAAAAATGACACAAAAAATGTTTATGTTATTTCCATGTTCACAGAGGAACAATTAATATTATTAAAAGGTCTATAATTCCCAAAGTATTTACATATTCAATACAATCTTCATCAGAATACCAATGACATTCTTCACAGAATTAGAAAAAATAATTCTAAAATTCATGGAAGCCCCAAAGACTCCAAACAGGCAAAGCAGTTTTGAGCAAAAAGAACAAATCTGGAGGTATCACACTTCTTGATTTTAGACTACACCTCAAAACAATAGTAATAAAAACATGATGTTGACATAAAAACAGACATACAGACCAAAACAGAATTGAGCATAGAGAAATAACCCCATGCATCTACAGCCAGTTGATTTTCAGTAGAGGTGCTAAGAACACTCATTGGAGAAAAGACAGTATCTTCAGTAAATCATGCTGAGAAAATTGGGTATACACATGCGGAAGAATAAAACTAGATCACTAACAAAAATCAACCCAAGCCTGGTATGGTGTCATATGCTTGAAATCCCAGCAGCTCTAGAGGCTAAGACAGGAGGATCACGAGTTCAGAGCCAGCCTCAGCAATGCAAGGTGCTAAGCAACTCAGTGAGACCCTGTCTCTAAATTTAAAAATACAAAATAGGGCTAGGGATGTGGCTCAGTTCAATCCCCGGTATCAAAAGAAAAAATCAACTCAAATTAATTAAACACTTAAATGTGTGGGCTGGGGTGTTGCTCAGTGTGGAACACTTGCCTAACATATGAGGCCCTGGGTTCAATCTCCAAACTTAAATATAAAAACTGAAACTAGCAAATTGAATCCTACTGGAAGAAAACTGGGAAAAACCTTCAGAACATCAGGATGGGTAAGGATTTTGTGGACTAAACTCCAAAATATAGGAAATAAAAACAAAAATAGGATTTTATCAAACTGAAAAGTCTCTACACAGCAAAGGAACCAAGCAACATAATGAAGAGACAGACTACAGAATGGAAGGAAATATTTGCAAACTATATACATATGACAAGAGGTTAATATCCAAAATATATAAGGAACTCAAAAGCTCAGTAAGAAAAAAGCAAAAAACTCAATTTAAAAATAGGCAATAGACCTGGATAGAGATTTCTCAAAAGAAGACATATGATGTCCAACAGAAAAATCATCAGGGAAATGCAAATGAAAACCAGATATTGCCTTATCCCAGTAAGAATAGTTAGGGATAAGGAGGGATGGGGAAAGGTTGACCAGTGGATACTAAGTTACAGTGAAATAGGAATAGAAGTTTGGTATGGAATTGCATATTAATGGTAACTAAAGACAATATAAATTATGTAGTATATGTCTTAGAAAACTGGATATTGAATATCTTCACCATGAACAAATGATAGATGATTGAGAAAATAGGTATGTTTAACCTGATACAAACATTACACGATATATACACATATTGGACAATCACCTAGCACTCCATTGTCATATTCAATTTTTATGGTTTTTTTTATAATAAAATATTTCTACTTTTCATTCTCAGAAGTACCCCAGTTTGGATAATTTGTTACATAATTACACAAAAAGTTCTTTGATTTTGTGAATTTTAATGCTAATCTCCTTGAATCTAATAATAACTAGGCATTTAAATCAGAAGAATATTCAAGTTTTGGTGTCACTGATTTGCTACTTGAATCATTGTACTCTACTGTTGGTATTTAAAGCATACACTGTTTGATGATTTAAATAGAATACAAACTTTTCCCCTAAAGAGAGAAGGAAAAAGTATACTGCCCCCAAAAGTAATGTCCCACTTCTCTTTTTCTTTTATAAATTATATTCTGTGGAAATTATCATCTTAGTGAAGAGTAGTCTCATAAATATTAAATCAGAATGTTGTAACTCAGAGTCATTTCCCCTCATGAGTTACAGAGCAACTAATAATAACTGTTTAGTGCCATTGAGCAATACATTTTTAAAACATCTTAAAGTTATGTTAACTCTTCAGTTGAGTTTCTGTTTTCATCAACTACATTTACAGAGTGTAGTCTAAAAGTCAAGGTTAGGGAAGTCAGTTATACTCATTTTCAAATGGGTGTTTACTTACTGCTCACAAATACACAAATTTAACTTAACAACCTCAGTGATCAGAGTCTTCATTTTTATAAACAGGTGTATTGTGTTTTAGTCAGCTTTTTCACTGCTGTGACTAAAAGAACTGACAAGAGCAAATTTAAAGGAAGAAAAGTTTATTTGGGGGCTCGCAGTTTCAGAGGTCCCATCCATATACAGCAGGCTCCTTTCCTTGGGGATTGGGGTGAGACTGAACATCATGGCAGAAGAGTGTGGCAGAGGGGAGCAGCTCACATGGTGATCTGAAAGCAGAGAGAAACTCCACTCACCACTTGCCAACTAGATACCCCAGAGGCACACCAATAATCTACCTCCTCCAGCCACATCCTACCTGCCTTCAGTTACCACTCAGTTAATCTCATCAGGGGATTAATCCACTGATTGGGTAAAGTCTCTTGTAATCTGTTCATTTCTCTTCTAAACCGTCTTGTACTTTCTTATACATGAGCTTTTGGGGGACACCTAACATCCAAACCATAACAGTCCCTTGACAGTACAGGTGTACTGTCCAATCCAGCTTCTTTTTTCCCTTCCAGTATGTGCTGGCTTTGTTTAGTAACTGAGGAATATAACCCATCATAAATTTCTTTATCGCACTTCTGGACTGGTAGGTGACATAGGCTTAAGGTAAAGAACCTTTAGCATATGACTGGTCTTCTTTCATCAAGTTATTTCTTACTGCTATTCTCCTCTCTGTTGATTTCATCTGATTTTCTTTATTTTCCTCCACTGGTTTAAATTCTATACATTGTATTTCTGTTATTGTAATAAATAGCTTGTTTTTTATGAGTTAAACATCTGGAGGGCCTCATGGGATCTCACTGATTTCAAACCAAAACTTTTAGTTTTTAGCTTTGGATTTTTATTTTTTGGTATAGGGCATTGAACCATAATGCTAAGCATGTGCTCTACCACTTTGATTAAAAAGATTTTAGACATATCTCCATTCCACAATTATCAAGAATATAAGCAACATTGTTGGCAAGGATGTGGGGGAAAATGTGCACTCATACATTGCTGGTGGGACTGAAAATTGGTATAACCACTATGGAAAGCAGTATGTAAAGTCCTCAGAAAACTTGGAATGGAACCATCATTTGACCCAGTTATCCCACTCCTTGGTTTATAACCAAAGGACTTAAAATCAGTGTTTTACAGTGACGCAGCCGCATCAATGGTTATAGCAGCTCAATTCACAATAGCTAAACTATGGAACCAACCTAGATGCCCTTCAACAGATGAATGGATGAAGAAAATTTGGTACATATACACAATGGAATATTACTCAGCCTTAAAGAAGAATGAGATTATGGCATTTGCAGATAAATGGATGGAGCTGGAGAAAGTCACTAAGCAAAATAAGCCAAACCCAAAAAACCAAAGGCCAAATGTTTTCTCTGATAAGCAGATGATAATCCATAATGTGGGGGTGAAGGAACTTTGAATTGTGCGGAGGGGAATGAGGGAAGGGAGGTGGTGTGGGGGTGGGAAAGATGGTGAAATGAGATAGACATTATTACCCTATATACATGTAATGATTACATTATTGGGATGACTCTGCACCATGTTCAGCCAGAGGAAGAAGTTGTGCTTCATTTGTGTAAAAGATGTCAAAATGCATTCTACTGTCATGTAGAACTAATTAGAATAAATTTTAAAATAAAAAGAAATATCTTCCATTCCAGTTACTATTTTCTTCTCAAAACAAGTTTCTCCCATGAGGCTTCTATGGATACCCTGGTAAATTTAATCCTAAATTATATGATGATTCATATTATTTTTACTTTATGCTTTATACCAAACAAAAATTAAACATTGATGTTTAGATATATCTCATTGCCTCTCGGATTTTAAAGTTTACTTCATTTACCAATGACTGACAGAACCCCTTTTCAAAATGTTCTTATACTTCACAACAGTTAATACTTCTGTGCTTCTGTGAGCCAGGTACTAAGCCAAGCCTGCTACATGGATTATCTCATTTTAATTCTCACAACAGTCCTGTAAAGTAGGCACTACTGTTGTCCTGATTCTACAAGTGAGCTTATAGATATTCAGTTGAGACATAAGTCAGTTAAAACTGTTCATTTCATATCTCACTTCAATACCAGTATTAAAACTGTTAGCACAAAATTCAAACTTCCTTTCCTTTTTTCTTCCTCTCTGAGAAGAAATTGAGCTGCCTGGAAAACTGAACTATTTTGCTACAGTATTTTCAGGGATTAAGAAGATTAATGGATTTATAGTCAGTGAAACCTGGAGAGCGGTCTTCAGAGGTATTTTGTATAAGTTGTTCACTTCAGGCAAGTCTGTGTCGTTTTCATTAGATTATGGAAGGACTCTTCAAGACCACAACAATGACTGTTCTTTCAAATTGTCCCGAAGATGTTGAACTCTGTCACAAATTCATAGCTCCTGGACACAAGGTAATTAGTTTTGTAGATAAAGCCTGATAAAGCTGCTCTCTAAGTATCTTAAATTACACATAATGAATATAATTACATTTTGAAATTTTTTTCATTTTTGTCTTTTCTTACCAAGGACAGATTAGAACATATGCTAAAAAACAACTTTTTAATGTAAGTAGACATTATTCTTTTTCTGAACTCTATTTATACTTTATCATTGAATTTATCACATTGAGTTATAATTTTTTTGTTTATGTATCTGTTTCCCACACTCCCCAAATTTGTGTCAAGACTCAAGTTCTAGTTATGTTTATAGCTCTTATGTCTGGTTTATTTATAGTTGATAATCAGTGTGTCATGAATAAATAAATTAATAAGTCATGCCAAGATAAATTAACATAGTAATTAATAAGCTATGTTACTACAATTCAACTTAAGTAGTCATTCTTTAGTACCTGTCAAGGATTTCATTGGAATCTCTATCCAGGACCCCCTATGGATAAAAAAAATCCATAGATCTCAAGTTCCTTACATGAAATGGCATAGAATTTACATAAAACCTATGCACATCCTCCTGTATACTTTAGATTACCTCTAGATTACTTATAATGCCTAATATGGAGGCAGGAAGGATACTCTACCATAAGCAACCACCACAGAAATAGAATGATTAGATCCCCAAGAAATTCTAATAACAATAGTGACAATAGGATGATAAAATAATATTTTCACATCGTTGGTTGGGGAGAGGATCCTTCACCTTAGAACTAAAATCCTGGACCTTAATATCATGTGACACCATATAGTGAAGTTGAAGTGTGTTAGTTGAAGTGTTAGTGTTAGTGTCCTAGTTGAAGTGTGTTAGTCCTTGTATTATTTGGAAGGAAGGGAAAGATACTGATTAACGTAGACTTCTTAAGTCAGACAATACTTTCGAAGTGTTAAGAGTGGGCACAGAAAGTGTAGTGGGGTGGTGACGGTGTGTTGGCAGTGAATATTCCATTAATGTAATGAGCGATGAGATGGGAAGTGGTCTGTATGGCGGTGCCCTCCCTACTGCCGTCATCACTCTGGTTGCTTCATGCTCCCCAAGGCATGGATTCTGAAGTTCCTGTACATTTTAGGTATAACTGAATCTACCTGTGACTAATCCTTTAATGTGAGCAAAAAAAGGGGGAGTTGGCAAAAGAAAGAAACTTGTCCTTTATGTGATCTACACCATTAATTGTCTAATCCATGCAGACTCCACATGGCCTGTATCATTTTGAATAAATAGAATTCAGTGTATCCTTCAGTTAAAACTGTTCTATATCAAAATGTGTCAAGGGACCTGTACAGTGAATTTATCCCCTATGCAGTAGAAGTTCAGGTAGGATTCAATTCTTTTACATTTCCTTTATACTATTAAAAGATTTCGAAAATATATAGAGTACTTATCTTATTTATTTGCTCTCAATTTATTTGTCTTTGTGAATTTAAGGCAAAGAAATGTCAATGAGGATGGGGGATTATTGGGGATTGAACTCAGGGGCACTCAATCACTGAGCCACATCCCCAGCCCTATCTTGTATTTTATTTAGAGACAGGGTCTCACTGAGTTGCTTAGCACCTTAGTTTTGCTGAGACTGGCCTTGAACTTGGGATCCTCCTGCCTCACCCTCCCGAGCTGCTGGGATTATAAGCATGCACAACTACAGAATGTCAATTTTAATCTCTTTACCTTGGCAGTTTTACTCTAACAATTTTAGAATAGTGTCTTGTCTTCATTCAACAATGAAAAATTTGAAATATGAAGATAGTTTGATGCTGTGTCATGCTATGTCAAAATGTCTCTTTCTCCTTTCTTCATTGGAAAGCACATTGGAAATGGTCTCTAGAAAGAAGAAATATTTATACATATTAAGAAAAATAGGGGGGCCAGGGTTGTGGCTCAATGGTAGAGCACTTGCCTAGCATGCATGAGGCACTGGATCCAATCCCTGGCACCACATAGAAATAAACAAATAAAATAAAGGTATTGTGTCCATCTACAACTAAAAAATAGAAAGAAAGTAAAATAGGGGGCTGGGGTTGTGGTTCAGTGGTAGAACACCTGCCTTGCACATGTGAGGCATTGAGTTTGATCCTCAGCCCCTTGTAAAAATAAATAAATAAAGATGTTGTGTTCATCACTAAAAATATTTTTTTTAAAAAAGGAAAAGGGGGCTGGGGATGTGGCTCAAGTGGTAGCATGCTCGCCTAGCATGCGTGAGGCACTGGGTTCGATTCTCAGCACCACATAAAATAAAATATATTGTGTCCACCTAAAACTAAAAAATAAATATTTTTAAAAAAGGAAAGGAGGGGCTGGGGATGTGGCTCAAGCGGTAGCGCACTCGCCTGGCATGCGTGCGGTCCGGGTTCAATCCTCAGCACCACAAACAAAACAAAGATGTTGTGTCCGCCAAGAACTAAAAAATAAATATTAAAAAATTCTCTCTCTCTCTCTCTCTCTCTTTAAAAAAAAAAAGGAAAGGAAAGGTATTGTGTCCACCTACAACTAAAAACAAATATATATTTTTTAAAAATAGTAGAGAGAGTTGATGTAGGCCACTAAGGAAATCCATTGTCAGACTATAATTTGAACTTGAATCTTTGCCCTAAATTAAGGTGTGGGAGAATTAGAACAGCAATATTTAGAGTCATTTTGACTTGATAATGGAATAGTAACAATGTTATAAAATCTTACTGCTTCCCCTTTTGACTGCTTTTAATATTTCTCAGTGTAATTGGTAGGTCATATAAAGTAATTGATGAAATAGAACAATAGAATGTCTAAGCAGGAAAGAACTCCAGACAAGGTAGTCCAATCTCCTTTTACAAGTATGAATACTTAATTTTTAATGTTTGTATAGCATATTACAAAAATTAATAACATGCTTTCACTGAGTTGAGGTGATTTACATAGCTAGTAAGTGGTAGAATCAGGGGAAGAACTCAATGTGTTGATTAAACATATGAAACTCCAAGTATCTTAGCAGTTGAAAACTTAGATTTTGGAGTTAAGAGATCAGTGTATATTACTTACTTTTTATGACTGATGTTTGGCAAGGTACTGATCCTCTCTAAGCTTCATTTTCTTTTCTATAAAGTACTAATTTTTAAATTCTACTAAACACTGCCATCAACATTATTACCTTAGATATTACCTATAATTTAATATTAAGTTTTAATTTGAATAGAATTTTCATCTTAAACATAAAACCTATTAAAACATAGCTTTGGGGATTTTATTTATACTATAAAATGAAACTCTTTCCAGTTATTATATTACCTTTGTGTTACTGTGACCAAAATACTTAACAAAACCAACTTAGAAGAGGAAAAGTGTATTTTGGTTCATGGTTCCAGAGATTGAGTCCATGGTCAGCCAAGTCCATTGCTTTGGGCCCAAGGAGATACAGAACATGATGGCAGAAGGGCATGATGGAGGAGTGCAAATCCATTTATGACAGCCAGAAAACAGAGGGAAAGGGGGGAAGGGGCCACTGGGAAGTTGAGCCCTTCTAGGGCACACCCCCAGTGACCCACATCCTCTAGCTTGAGTGTTAACCTTTCTCTGCTTTTATTTGTTCTACAGCATTTCTTACACGGAGGCCATAGAGATCTTACAGCGAGCATCACAAAACTTTACCTTCACTCCAGAGGTAGTATTGTAATGTGTGCATGTGTGTAATATATTTCCCTCTTATTGTGTGGTAGTACATGCCTGTAATCCCTGTGGCTCAGGAGCCTGAGGCAGGAGGGTCGCAAGTTCAAGGCCAGCCTCATCAACTTATCAGGACTGTAAGCAATTTAATGCAACCATGTCTCAAAAACAAAAAATAAAAAGGGATATGGGATGTGGTTTGATGATAAAGTACCCCTGGGTTAAATCTCTGGCACATAAAAGAAAAAAAAAATTCTTCAAAATAAACTTATTTCTCTTACTAGCAACATATAGTATTCATTCTTCTATACCTTTGCTGGACCTTGTTAAAATACTTAAGATGAAAAAAGTATAAAATTGTAAATTGAAATAAAATTGTAGCATTTGAAATAGCAGTGCCTGAAGGATTACAAAGGAGTATACCAAGTTGAGAAAGATGAAAATCCTAAAAAAAGAATAATAGTCATGTAATATTACTGTGGAAATCAAATGGTTAATTATTTCCCAAAATTTATTCTGAATGATGTTAAAAGGTAACAGATAAAAGAGGTTATATGATGAAATAAGGTTAGTCAACATATTAACCAAGTTTCTTTTTCAGTTGAACTTTATAGACTTAATTTTGAGCCTCTCCAAATAGCTCTTTTGGGGGAGGACTGGGGGATACCAGGGATTGGATTGAGGGGTTCTCAATCACTGAACCACATCCCCAGCCCTATTTTGTATTTTATTTAGAGACAGGGTCTCCTTGAATTGCTTAGCACCTTGCTGAGGCTGGCTTTGAACTCACAATCTTCCTACCTCCCAAGACACTGGGATTATAGGCCAAATAGCTCCTTTTTAAGAACTCCTTCATTTTTAACACTTAATTGCTTCATGTTGTATATATTCAAGGTACACAAGGTGATGATTTGACATGTATGCATGATGTAATGATCACAATCAAGTTAATGAAGATATCCATCATCACCCACCCTGTAATTTAGATCCCCAGAATTTGTTCAACTTATAACTGAAAGTTTATACCCTTTGAATGACAACTGTTCATTTCCCTCAGCCCCAAACCCTGGCAACCTCTATTCTATTCTTCATTTCTGTACAGGATCTCCTTTATTCTACTGGCAAAAATATAGGCCTAGAGAGCCCCAGTGTTAGAGGCAGTGTCTTTGTTTCTATTCCAGTCCTTTATTCCTGTACTTTAAATATTACCAGGCAGGTGCATATGCCTCTTCTTCATCTACCACTGCTGCCTCCTTCTACTGCTCCTAGCACTGTTCATGTGTGCCTTTGGTGTGGACCTGGTTCCTCTTTCGTTAAAACAACAACTGAAGAAACTCTGGAACTTGCCATGGCTGACAAAAAGTCCAAGAATGAACTCAAGACTATAACAATCATGTCAGTTTGAAGGTGGCAGGAGAAGGATGGTTCCATGGTGTGCAGTTTAAGATTAAGAGGCACAAACCATTTAGGGAACTGGTAAAAGCCTATTGTGGACAGGGTTTTTAATGAGGTAGATCATTCTAGTTTCATGAGCAGCAATTAGTGAAACACACCTACATAGCTGGAAATGGAGGATGGAGATACAACTGATGTGCTTCAGCAGCAGGCACAGGTTGTCTACTAAGAAGGGAACCTGCTACTTTATTCCAGAACTCTGTTCTTACAGACCAAGAATACATTCTCAATCAGAAAATTGCAATTTGGTTCCAGCATGTCCTGACTACTACAGTATTGTTTTCTCTATTCTATTCTTTTTTCCCCTTTCCCATTCCTTTATTGTACATAAAGTACTGGTGTCCTTGAAGGAATACGTTCCTTTTTTTTTTTTTTTTTTTTTAAGTAACTGGACAATAGTATGTTTTGGTTGGCATCAAATGGAAATATGATAGGGAAAAATATTGATTCCGTATTGGTTCTGTGAAAATACCTGTTTTCTCCATTACTGGTATGCTAATTCAACTCTTTATATTTGAGTAAGTTATTTTGCTCTCACTGTTTTCACAACAACAACATAAAAAGCTTTGTATACTTTGCTGGGTATGGTGATACACACATTGGGTATGGTGATACACAAATGTAATCCCAGCAACTCTGGAGCCTGAGACAGGAGAATCACAAGTTGAAGGTCAGCCTCATTAATTTAGCAAGACACAGTCTCAAAATAAAAAATAAATAGGTCTGGGTATGCAGCTCAGTCGTGGAGTTGATGCTGGATTTGATCTGCAATACCAAAAGGGGAAAAAAATTTTTTTTACATGCCTTGTTTAATTGTTAGAATTTTAGTGTTTTTTCATTTGTCATCTTAAAATCAAGAAGATTTTTATAACTTTTTAATATGTATTTTTAATATGTAGCTGTTAACATGTAGTACAATTTGTCTTTAGTAGTAAATTGCAATTGAAAAAAAAAAAAAAAAGCCTAGGTAGTTTTACTTTGAAGTCAAGCATGTTATTGTTTAAATAAATTTCTTGTTTAAAGTGAATAAAGAATAAAAGAAAAGTTACTGCCAGACAAGTGGGAATAATAAGGTAATGTTAAGAATGTAATGCCTTTGTCCTCAAATATCCCTTACTCCAGTTCCCTCCCAGATGTCAGATGCCTTTGTAAGTTTTAACATAACTCTGCTAGTTTGATTTATAATCAATTAATTCTTTGTATACTTTTAGTTTAAAGTTTATCTCACACCCTAGAAGTTTCACAAAGTCAGGAATTGTAACTATTTTCTTACCACCATATCTAATATCTAGATTTTAATAAGCACATTAGTATTTGCTGAGTAAATAGATTGAACAGTGCTATTAAATATTCATCAAAGTGCATCTGATATGAGTTGACGCTTTTATTAAAAAAAAAAAAAATCCCAAGAGAGACCATCTAGCCAAAGCTGGGCTCAATATTAGGAATTTTATCTTCCGTCATTTAATTTCCTGAGACTTAGGAACAGTGACTATGGGAGAAGCTCAAGGCAATATTAATAAAAACTAAAATTCTGAAGTCAGTTTTATTCGTCTACAAAGTGTACTTTGTTTTCTTGCCTGTGCTATTCACCTGCTGAATGCTGCTCCCTGAGACAGACAGAAAGCTTGGTGTTTTTCTGTGGGTTCAGCTTTCATCCCTCCAAGCCTTTGGCTGTTCTTTTTAACAAGTATCTTTCTTTAGTTTAGTCAGCTGTGTAACCTCAGCAGACAGCTCTACACATCACCGCGCCTCGGGGAAAAGAAGCCCTTGGAACTGATACAGATTATTTTGGGGGGCTTTATTGAGTATTTTAGCTCTGCCTTCTCCCATTATCATTCCTTTTTTCTCATTACAGTGGGGTGTTGATCTACAAACTGAACATGAGAAGTACCTGGTGAAGCACTGTGGCGACATACCAGTCTTCGTCATAAACTATCCGTTAGCACTCAAGCCTTTCTACATGAGGGATAATGAAGATGGCCCTCAGCACACAGTAAGAAGAGATACTAAATAAATTGGGGTGCATCATCTCAGAGTTTGGGTTTTCCCCTTATTTAATTTCATTTAGCTTTCGGCATATTTTTAAAAATCACTCTTTCAATATCTCAAAAATGATAGCTTTTCAGACTGGGGCCACAGCGTGTGCCTATATCCTAGTGATTTGGAAGGCCGGGGGCAGGAGGTTCAAGTCAGCAATTTAGACCTTGTCTCAGTATAAAAAATAAAAAGGACTAGGAGTATACCTCAGTAGTAAAGCAACCCTGTGTCCAATCCCCAATACTGCCAAAATTTTTTGTTTTTGTTTTTTTAATATTTTTATTTATTTATTTATTTTTAGTTGTAGTCGGACACAATCCTTTATTTATTTATTTTTATGAGGTGCTGAGGATCGAACCCAGGGCCCTGCACATGCTAGGCAAGCACTCTAGCCCCAGCCCCAGCCCGTTTTTGTTTTATAAAGGCACCTCCTGACAAGCATTCCCAAAGATTTTAGTGTTCTATTAAATTAAAAAAAAAAAAAAACTTGTTTCTATCTCAAGGTGTCCTTAGTTTAGCAGATGCAATTGTAGGGGGAGGTTTGTTTTGTTTTGTTTTTGTTTAAGTGACTGAGAAGTGGGCTTAGGACACTGTGTAGTCATGCCAGGTCTGCTGCGGAGTGTGGTACTGAATAAAAGACTCCTGGGAAGAGAAACAGGCTGGGCAACAGATGATATAGCTTTGGTGTGATCAGGCAGAGGAGCAGGCAGCTTCATTGGAGTACTTTGGTCTGGGCTATAAAAAGAAATAGTGAGGGGTGACTATGGAGGAATCAAGGAGTTCTAGGCAGAGCCTCCTTGTCCAGATCTCACAGATCTCATCTGTGTCTTCTCCATCTGCCTGTAGTTCCTCTGTCTCTGATCTCTACCCTTTTTTATTCTCTGTTCTTTTCATTCTTAATTTTAGTTGCTTTTTATTTTTCTGGTTTACTTTCCCCTTATTTCTCTTATTCTGTCTCTTTTCTCTCCTTTACAAAATTAGCTATAATATAAGAATATATTTTGACTTTTAAAATATTTATTCAATAGGTTATATTTAATACCATTAATTATAAAGGTCTGTGAGACAAATATATTTATTTCAAATTAGGCCCCAAAACTAAAGTTTGCTATCTGATACTTTTTCTGTGCCTGTCAAATACTTGTGGGAAATGAAGGTTAAGCCCCACTAGTAAACAAGATGCCCCATCTTTAGTATACAAGGTTATCTGAGTATATTTCCTGTTTCTCATATAGTATTAATAAAACAGTTCTAGCTATAATTTACTAGATTGCTGTGAGTCACGTACTATCATCTCATCTCAAAATCCTGAAACAACTAACAACTTTGCCAAGAAACTTAGTTTCCTCCATTTTATAAAAGAAAAACTACAGCACAGAGAGACTGATTGCAGTTCAGCCCCCTACCCTGTACCAACACCCTCCCCCCCCCCGCCCTCTCTCCCTCCCTCCTCTCCCCCTCCCCCTCATGTAATATCCCTAAATGGAGTACTTTAAAACTCAGTTCTACATCCCTTTAGGTTCTCTGCTTAAGACTTTCCTTCTCTGTAAACACTTTCCTGGGTTACCCAGCCACTTCGAATGTTCCTTTTCTAGATTTCTGCAGTGCTTAAAGAATAAATAAAACTTTGTAGCAATGTATTTTTCATAGTCTCCTTATAAGTTTTTCTTTCTCAAAGTAAACTCTCCTTCAGGGTTTTATAAAACTACACTATCTACTGCTCACTACTCATTCCCTCCAATATGGTTTCTGCCTCTATCATGCCACTAAAGTGGCCCTTGTTAAGATCAGAAATGATCCCCTGTTAAATCCACAGCCTTTTTTTTTTTGTACCAATATTGAACCATAGGGGCACTTAGCCTCGTGCCATATCCCTAGCCCTTTTTGTATTTTATTTTGAGACAGGGTGTCACTGAGTTGCCTAGGGCCTTGCTAAGTTGCTGAGGCTGACTTTGAACTCTGATCCTCCTGCCTCAGCCTCCCAAGTTGCTGGGATAATAGGCATAAGCCACTGCGCCCAGCCAGAGCTACTAACTTTTAATCCATCATAACCGTTAATACAATTGTAAGTTTGTGTCTATGTGCATAAATGTTTAATCACTCTTTTCTCTGTCTTGAGGTTTTCTTTTTCACTCACCAATGTAACCTTAGGACCTAGCGTAATGCCTGGGACATAGCAGGTAATAATATCTAATTGGTAGATGGATGAATGGATAAATAGAACCAAACACAGTTTTAGACACATAGTGGACACATAATCATGACTTGATTTGCTAAGGAAATTGGTAGGAAGCTTAAAAAAAAAAAAAAAAAAAAAAAGCTTCTACTCTAAATATTGTTAGTGATGACAACACAGTATAAAGGAAAAGTCTAATGGCCCTAGACTCAGACACTCTTAGGTTCAAGTCCAAGGTCTGTATAGTATCAACTATTTGATCTTAGATAAACTACCTAATCTCTTTGAATTTTAGTTTCCTGGCCTGTAAAAATGAAATGATATTTTCTGGAGTTCAAAGGATTAAATTAGGTAATATATGAAAAGTACACGTAGCCCAGTGTTTGGATGGTAAGTAATCAGTGAGTGTGAAGTTGTCTGTCATTACCTTCTAAATTGTGCTAAAAGCTTTATTGGAATATTAGCATCATAATGTTTGCATGTGTTGCCATATAACATGTTGCTATATAATGAGAGTTCTTAAAAGCCAGTTCTCTCAGAGACTGCACTCACACACACTTCTTACCTCAGGAAATACTGTCAGGCCTTCATTATAGCACAATCTTTCCGGTAATGTGGTCTGAAACTATGAAAGCATCACAGTGAACTTTTGTGTGCTTCCACAATTCATATAGTACTATGGTATACAGCTTATCATTGCTAAATTATTCAAATATCATTTAGTTAAACTGTTTACATTAGCCTTAGATTATAACATATCAGCCACCTAGATTTCTTATCATTCTACTGGTGTAAAGTGCCTGCTTCTACTCCATGTATTCCATGTTTTTTTTCAGCAATGAATACGTAGACTTTTGGGCAGATGACTAAATTCTGGATTTCTCTTAGTAAGGCTCTAATTACAGGTTGCAGATAGGGTTACAAGGGTTTCTGCAAGGGATGCAATGCAGTCTTAAAAAATAAGAAAGGTGTGTTTCATCAGTGTTTTCTCTAGGAAATCAAAAGAGAAAGCTAGGAAAATATTTAACCTACACATGGAACTCTGGGCTAAGAGGTAATACATAGTAAAATTGTATATTTCTACAGTTATAGTCTTTCTTCTTCCTTTCCTCCAACCCCTCCAAGAAAAAAGAAAAAAAAAAAGAAGATATGCACTGTGGGGTAATGAAAACTACCCCAGAATGAGAGCTGCTAGTTCTAGGTTTGAAATCCAGCTGTTATTACTCAAATGTATTACCATAGATGAGTCTCTCCAATTGTCCATCTGTTTCTCCTTCTGTAGAATCAGAGGATTTGGTTTGATTTCCTGTAAGGTACTAACCATCTTTAAGATTCTCTGAAATCATGTAGTCTTAAGTTTTTCTTCACTGGCATATATAAGGATATCTTTTAAATTACCAAGCATATTTGATCATTTGAAAGAGACAGATCAAGCCAGGCACAGAGGTGCACTCCTGTAGTCCCAGTGACTTGGGAGGCTAAGGCAGAAGGATCACAAGTTCAAGGCCAGCCTCCAAAACTTAGCAAGACCCTGTCTCAAAATTTAAAAAAAAATAAAAATAAAAAATAGGGGCTGGGGTTCTGGCTCAGTGGTAGAGCACTCGCCTGGCATGTGTGAAGCACTGGGTTCGATCCTCAGCACCGCATAAAAATAAATAAACAAACAAACAAAATAAAAGTATTGTGTCCATCTACAACTAAAAAAGAAATTCTTTTAAATAAGTAAATAGGGCTGGGATGTAGCTCAATGATAAAGCACCCCTGGGTTCAATTTCTAGTACCAATAAATAATAAGAAGAAATATACTTTGAATTATAAAGGTAAGAAATATAAGGAGGAGAAGTATGTTTATGTGTAATAGACTTTTACATTTCTTGCTTATCTACTGATATTTGTCTCCATTTCAGTCTTTCCATTGCTTCAGCCAAACAACTGTTTAGTTAAAGCAATCAAGATAAAAGTGAACATAGATGTCTTCTAAGCTTTCTCGTTAAATAAGAATATTGAGGAAGCTGCAATATTATGAAGAAGAGCAAAGAAGAGGAATTCAGACAAGTTGAGAAATTATTTGTATCATCTTATTTACCTAAAGAGAAACTGACTTTGCAAGATTAGAGAGAAAATGTGTTTATGGTTATAAGAAGAAAATGAAAGAAAAGATGAGCAAAGTAGATTAAACTTGAGATTCCAAATCGGCATGTTAGAGAGTACTTATTATCTGACAAGTATAGTATTGAAGCATTTGAAAGAGGAAAATTTAACATTTGTTGAGCGTATACCATGTGCCTTTAATCCCTTTCTTACAGAAGAGGCCTTTACTTCTTAGCACTGTGCTGTAGTCACTTGTGCACAGTCACAGAGCTAGTAACTGTTGGAGCTGAGATGGAGAGGCAGGGATGTGACATGTTTGATGGCCTTGCCAGAACACTGATATTTTTGGAATATTGTTTGGAGGAGCAAGAAAAGCAGTAGGTTACAGCCAGGAAATTTAGGTTTTGCTCATTTGTCCACCACTTAATCTTTCTTAGTTGCAGTATTCTCAAGGGATCGTATTCCTAGTCTCATTTGTTGACAAGGAAGTGCAAATTAAAACCATAGAAAGGTGCCACTACTTACCAGTTAGAATGGCTAAAATAAAATTGCCTATGGTTCCAATTGTTTGTAACAGTATTAGAAGATAAAACTTTCATACACTGCTGGTAGAAGTATAAATTGGTCCAATCACTTTGGAAACTCTTTGGCAGTAGCCATTATTAGTCAATTTTGTATTACTGCAATGAAATGCGTGAGGTAGCTCTCTTATAAAGAGAAAATGTTTATTTAACTTACAATTTTGAAGGTTTAGAGTCCAAGATCAGGTAGCCTCATTGGTTTGGCCTGTAGTGCTACATGGTGTGGTACATCATTGTGGGAGCACATATATGAACTAGTAAGTGGTCACATCTTGAACATCAACAGAAAGCACAGGTGGGGCCAGGCTTTACACTAACCTCTCACAAGGATTACCAAAGAGATCTCGCAAGAAATACCTCATTCCCTTAATAACCTTAGGACCTCCCACTGAGCCCCACCTCTCAAAGGTTCCACCACCTTTCAGAAGCATCAGAAGACCAAGCCTTTAATCACAGTGGACCCTTGGAGGACACAAACCATGTTGAAATCATAGAACTTTTTTTTAAAAAGAAACATTTACTCTTTAGTTGTAGGTGGACACAATACCTTTATCTAATTTTTATGTGGTGCTGGGGATCGAACTCAGTGCCTCACGCATGCTAGACCAGCACTTTTCTTCTGAGCCACAATCCCAGCCCCAAATCATAGAACTATTAAAGCTGAATATTTGCATATTCTATGATTCAGCAGTTTCTCTCCTGTTGAAATGTGGACCTATATTTGTTCCACTGTGAGTAGTAGCCTGTGAGAAACTGAGTAAGAAGGCATCCAGTTGTGTTTTCATCAATATTTGTAAATGCTCAGGTTGGGGGAAAGAGAAGTAGCAGAGGAAAGGACATGACATGTTTTCCTGCCTTTGACTTAGCATAAAAGAGGTTATGTGATGAGAAAAGGATAGTATTCCCTTCCAAATGTATCAAAAAGATCTTGTTCCTATCTAGCCTATTTGTTGTTGTTGTTTAAGTCAAAGGATCTGAGTTTTAGTTTTGGTACACCTATGTTCACCAAAATACATACAAGACTATTCATAGCAGCCCAGTTTTATAGCCCCACTCCAAGGAGTGTGTACTATCAGCAGTAGAATAAATAACTCACTTATGGCATATTTATATAATGGGATACAGCAGTGAGAGCAAACACTCAACCATGTAATGAATTTCCCTGTGTTGAGGCTGATCTGCATCAAAATAGCTAAGTCTCAAACCAACAGATGCAGTGAGGAAGACCCTTGTCAATAAACTATTGCTACATATATCCACATGACAAATGTCACAAATACAACTTTTGGTAAAAGAAACTAAACAAACAGTATACACTGTATAATACTATTTACAGAAAGTTGAAAAATCAGCAATATCACCCTGTGATGATATTAGACAGGAAAGAAGTTACTTTTGGTAGATGCAGTAACTGAAAGAGCATGAGAAAGACTTTTTTGGAAGCTCATCTTTTTTTCTTTTTTTAAATTGCTTTAATTGGTTAAAAAAAATTATTGTCCTTTTTAATTATACATGACAATAAAGTTCATTTTGATATTACTATACAAGCATGGAATGTATCTTGTACTGATTAGAAACCCATTCTAATTGATATACACGATGGTGGGATTCACAGTGGTGTATTCATGTATGTACATTGGAAAATTGTTTCAGATTCATTCCATTGCCTTTCCTTTTTCCTATCCTCCTCTCCTTTTTCTTCATTCCCCTTTGTCTAATCTACAAAATATCTGTTCTTCCCCTTCCCCCCTTATTTTGGGTTAGCTTCCACATATCGGCAAAAATATTCGACCTTTGGCTTTTTGGGACTGGCTTTATTCCTTAGCGTGATAGTCATCCTGTTCTTTCTTGATGTAGGTGATGATTCATAGTGTGTTCATTTCATAAAAGTCGATAGAATATATACTTGTTATTTTTATGCTTTGTATACTTTATTTTTATAATGTACATGTAAATAACTTAAGTAAAGACGTTTACTTTGGAAGGGAATCCTATCCTTTTCTCATTACAGGCTTGTTGTGGAGGTAAGATGAACAATGTTTATAAAATTGTTTTGCAAATTAAAACTATAAAAATATTAGAGAGTGAAATTTTGTGATAAAGATGGCTAGACAAGAGGGAACGAATTATGGAGAGGTTGGAATGTTTCATATAGCCTAGGATCCATCCAGCACAGTAGAAAGGCATTGTATTTCCTTTTTCTTGATGGCAAGATGATAAGATGAAGCTAACAAGTGGTACACAGGAGAGATTGAGGAAGGAGGGGACTCTTAGAATATGGAAAAGGAAAGATAAGATCTTAGACAAAGATGGTGAGGACAATGAAAATGGAGAAAGAAGTAAAACTAAAAAAAGATATTTCGGGCCTGGGTTGTGGCTCAGTGGTAAAGCACTTGCCTAGCACGTGTGAGGCACCAAAATACAATAACAAACAAAATAAAGGTATTGTGTCCATCTACAACTGCAAAAATATTTTTTAAAAAAAGAAAGCTTTTAAAAATAAATAAATAAAGATATTTTCAAGAAGTAATCAGTGAATCAGTGGACTCTGAAATAAACTGGAAGTAGAAAAAAAGTACTACAGGAAGGAATCATAGGTGACTCCCAGAGGTCAGACTTTGATTCTAAGAGTGGTGCTATTTATAGCAATGTTTATTCTCTCAAGGGGAAGAACTCATGTGAGTTTGTGGCCCCAGCTAATTTTTTTCTGCTGGCTCACTTGGAATTTAGAGCTCTCTAAGGAAGAAGGAAATGTGCAATTACCTTGGCCCTGAGGAGAAGGGAGTATGTGTCTAGGGGCAAGGTGAGAATTCTGTTCCTTTGAAGCCATTAATTCTTTGCAGTTTTGCACATTATAAAATGTTTGCCTCTTTCAGGCCACAGAAGTAATACAATTGACTCTCCATTCTGCCTGCCCAAGTCCATCTTCAGTCATTGCTACCTACAGCCCATCTTCATCTTCTCACTGAGGCATCTGGAAGGCTCTTTCCTCATTGTACCCAGTTGTTTTCAGAGGGAAAATAATGTCTATATCAGAAGGTAGAGAAAAGTTCATAGAGTCTGAGACCACAAATGTGTTTCCTTTGGTTTATTTAGCATTCTTTTTCTTTTGATAATTGAATGTAATGTTACTCCATCATGAGTAGTAGCCTGTGGGAAACTGAATAAGGAGGCATCCAGTTGTGTTTTCATCAATATTTGTAAGTGTGCTCAGGTTGGTGGAAAGAGAAGTAGCAATGGAAAGGACATGACACTTTTTCCTGCATAAAAGAGGTTATGTATCAAAAAGGTCTTGTTTCTATCTAGCCTATTTGTTGTTATTGTTGTTTTAATTCAAGATCTGAGTTTTATTTTTGGTACATTGATTGGATTCAAAGAGTCAGAGTCAGAAGGGAGTATCATAAATAGAAACCAGGGTTTGTTCAGATTGAATACTAACAGAAACTATTTCTAGACAGCATGTCACTGCAGCTGTGTGACTTAAGCAGAATCAAAACTCACACCCAAGGAGGAGGATGTGCCAAGAAGCATCCCGGGCCTAAAAGATGTAGCCAAAGTGAAATAGGTTTTGTTTAAGGTAGGGGAAATTAGGGGAACGTTTTACTACCTGGGGAGAGTGAAAGGATAGCAGAGCCAATGTCCTTCCATTTATTTCAAGTCTCCCAAGGAGCATAGAAAAACATTAGAGCTTTTTAGTTACAAAAGTGCTCAGATTTGGTCATCTTTAAATTAAGAAGGCATTTCACTATGCAGCTGGTGAATTCTCTGATGACAGAGCTTGCTCTGGTTCCTGTTCCTTATAGCTTATTATTCCCAGTAACTACCAGACCCACAGCTATACTATTCATATTTTCTGGTTCTACCTTCTGTTCCATTTGAATCCTATATTTTTCTTTCTTTTTTGGTACTGGGGGTTGAACCCAGGGGTGCTTTACCACTGAAGGAATCCTATATTTTTTCATAAAGTATGGATGGCCTTTAATTCAAAAAAACATTTAAAAATTCAAGGTCGTGGCTGATTTGGGGGTGTGATGTAATGAAATTCCAGAAACCTCATTAAAGACTAACATAGGAAGATTGAGTTACTTTGCTTTTAAACAGGAATGTAGACATATGCTTATATATGTATATTTCCTAAAGGAAGTTTCGGACACTTGCAGCTTCATGCTCCAGAGGAAAGATGGCGCTATGACTGGCTTAAGACTTGCCCTAAGAGTGGTATACAACAACCGACTGGGCAGAAAAGGAATGCTAACAGTAGTCCAGTTTTAGAGTCACCTTTGCAGGTGGCTGATTCTCTAAGCACACTGAAATTGCCTAGAAGAATCATTAGTAGTCAATCAGTATTTTTTGATAGTGGCTATAATCTGTATGATTATTCATCATACTTTATCTGTACATTTCTAGTGGCACTTAATAGCATAACTATGAATCATGTTTCTGGTTAGTTATGATAAAATCTAATGTCTACTGCAACACTTTTATTCATCCATGAACCTTTCCTACTTTACCTCATCAGAATTAATTCCTCCCATCTGCACTGCGTGGTCAGTATCAGCCTCACTTAAACCTCAGAACTGCCAGCCCATAAAGGCAAATTGTAATCCCCAGCAAGTAGCCAAGCCAGCTTGCTTATTGCCAACCATTTTGCATTCATCCAGCCTCCCAAACACTTGGCAAACCACATCCAAGTTTTTCTCATCACTTCTCCAATTTGTATGACTCCCTCCACATTTTGCATTTTGTGTATACTTATATCTTGTGTTGTATTGTATCTGTATGTGCCTTTTATCTCTGCTCGAGCCCTTGGAGAAACAGGTAGTGTCTGAAATAATTAGCCCAATAGATATCAGGAAGAGATACAGGCAGAAGAATCCTACTTGGAATCTCAGTCCTAACTGAAAGATATGGAAATTTGAGGGGATCATTCTAATAATCTTTAGAGAAAGAAGTATTTTTTATATCATACCAGAAGAAAATGAATCTCTGTATATACAAACTGTGTTTTTATTTGTAGTTGAGATATATATAAAAGGTCTCAGAAAGTGGAGGCTTCTAGATAGATTGGAAGAGCAAAAAGTATTAGAATATGGTTGAGGGAAAGTAAACTTAAGTAAACGAGGAAAGAAGAATCATATATTAGAAGAAGAGAGGAGAACAAGGCCTTTGTGCATTTTTTGCCCCACAAGTAAATCTCTACTTGCTCAAAGAGAAATATTTGTGTTTGGTCATAGAACGTTTGAGGCACTATAAAGGAATGCCTTAATTAAAAGGTACAAATGTATGTATAAAGAGGAAGCAACTTCACTAAGTCATAGAAACATAGAATTTCCTCCACTTGAGTTAGGCATGGTGGTGCATGGCTATAATCCAGGTAATTTAGGAAGCTGAGGCAGGAGAACCACAAGTTCAAAGCCAGCCTAAGCAACTTAGTGAGACTGTCTCAAAATAAAAAACAAAAGGGGCTGGAGATGTGGCTCAGTGGTTAAGTGCCCCTGGATTCAATCCCTGATCCCCCCCCCCAATTTTTTTTTACCCACTTCAGAATTTTCAGACCATCTAGAAGAAGGACATAGATGACAAATGTGTTTCTCTTACATACCACAAAATTAGTGTCAAGTAAAGCTACAATAGTGATATGGAACTTTTGTCTTCTAAAATTTTTATTCAACTTAAATATTCACTTTGATAAGTTACTTCAAACTAATAAGTATCTCCAAGACGATGTGAAAGAAAATAGATAAACTGACATTCTGGTCTTAATTCTAAGGGATAAAGAAGAATTTGCTGGGACAGTAGAAGTAAAAGGGTCCAAGTAAATGAGGAAAGAGCAACATGGCAAACTCTTTTTCTGTACACAAATAGTTTCTACTTGTGCCTCAGAGATTATATTTCCGTGCCCTGTTGACATGAGCTTGCCCTGCTGCATGATGAGCCAAAGTGACAATTGTACATTACTTCTAGACGAATGCTTATAGCATATAGTCTTCCCTGCTCTTTTTTATGTCTGCCACAAGACTTCAGAAAGAGGCTATTTTGTCAGCTTCAGGCCAGGATGGAAAGGTTAAAAAAAAAAAAAAAAAGTTCATTGTTGTAAACTAGTGATTCTTTTTTTTTTTTTAGAGAGAGAGAATGTTAATATTTATTTTTTAGTTTTTGGCGGACACGACATCTTTATTTGTATGTGGTGCTGAAGATCGAACCCAGGCCACACGCATGCCAGGCGAGCGCGCTACCGCTTGAGCCACATCCCCAGCCCCCAAAACTAGTGATTCTTAATCAGGAATTATTATGTCTTCCTCTTTCCAGCCTCAGAGGACATTTAGTAATGCCTGGAGACACTTTAGTTCTCATAACTAGAATAGGCAACTGGCATTTGTAAATAGAGACCAGTTATATTGTTAAGTATCCCACAGTGGCCCAGACACAGTGGCTCATACCTGCAATCCCAGCTACTCAGGAGGCCAAGGCAGGAGGATCACAAGTTTGAGGTCAGCTTGGGCAACTTTGACCTTGACTCAAAAAATAAAAGGGCTAGCTGGGTGCAGTGGTGCCCACCTGTAATTCCAGCAGCTCTGGAGATTGAGGCAGGAGGATCAGGAGTTCAAAGCCAGCCATAGCAAAAGAGACGGGCTAAGCAACTCAGTGAGACCCTGTCTCTAAATAAAATACAAAATAGGTCTGGGGATGTGGCTCAATGGTTAAGTGTCCCTGATTTCAATCCCTGGTACCCAAATAAATAATAAGGGCTGAGGATGTAGCTCAGTGGTAGGGTACCCCTGGGTTCAATCCCCAGTACTGGGGGTGGGGGATAGAATCTCACAGTGCATGATTCAGGTCTTCACAACAAAGGAGTGTATGGCCAAAAATGTTACTAATGCTGAGACTGAGAAACTCATGTAAGCTTTAGAGTGGTTTTTGTTATTTGTTTTGTTTTGTTTTTTAGTGGGGAGGGAGTTGTTTTGTTCTTTGGTTTGGGTTTTATTTTGTTTGTTTTGGAATAGGTAATTGAACCCAGGGGCACTTTACCACTGAGCTATATCCCCAGTCCTTTTTTATTTTTTGAGATGGGATCTGACTAAGTTGCTGAGGTTAGCCTGAAACTTGTGATCCTTCCAAGTCACTGGGATTATAGGCATGTGCCACTGCACCTGGCACTTTGGAGATTTTGTATGATGACAGTATAATCTAGCCTATGCTGATTAATACAGCAACTGTCACCTTAATTTTAAAATAGCCAAAGCAGAAATAGTTGGATATAACTAATTATGTAACCTAGTAATCAGGAAGGCATGATAGGAAGAAATTTTTTTTTAAATTATGTATAGGTCAGGCTGGGGTTGTAGCTCAGTGGTAGAGTACTTGCCTTGCATGCATTAGGCCCTGGGTTCGATCCTCAGCACCACATAAAAATAAACAAATAAAAATAAAGATATTGTGTCTGTCTACAACTTAATTTGAAAATTTTTAAAAAATATTTATGAGTATCAATCATACCAGGGCATAAGATTTTGGTACTAACTCAAAAGGTTCAGAAGTTTCCAGTTCTACTCTAGTTGCAAATATTCCAGATAAATAAAAACCAGACAGAAAGCTATAAAACCAGTATAGTTACACAGTGAATTATCCCATAAACCCAAATGTTAAAAGAGGTTTATAATCAAAGAAAAATAGATGTCTTTTAAACTTCTTTAAAAATAGCATTTAAAAAACTAAGATCCAGAATAGCCTAACTTTCTGCCAGAAGTACTAAGATCCCAGAGGAGTTTTTGTTTGTCTTAGTTATATTCTCAGCAAGACCAAGCAAGAAAGGGTTCTCTTGTTTGATGCTGAAGGACTACATAGAGAAAGCAGAAAAAAATGTCATTCATCACTTCATCAGTGGCCGTTGGCCTCTTATTTAGCTATATAGCCATTGGCCTTTTATTTATCCATGTCTCAAAGCAAAATATTAGGAAATAAAGATGCCAGTCTTTCTGTGTTCATAAAAACTCCCTTTGGCCTGGTGCAGTGGTACATGCCTATAATCCCAGCAGCTGCAGGAAGATCACCAGTTCAAAGCCAGCCTCAAAAAAATCGAGGTGCTAACCAACTCAGTGAGACCCTGTCTCTAAATAAAATACAAAATTTGACTATGGATGTGGCTCAGTGGTCAAGTGCCCCTGAGTTCAATCCCTAGTACCAAAAAAAAAAAAAAAAAAAAAAAAAAAAAACCTTTGGACTTTCTCCTTTTTCTAAAAATTGGAGGGTCCTAGTAGAGACTAATCATATTAAGTGTGCAGCCCATGAGAATTGTATCACATTAGTCATGCTCTCTTGTCTACCTGTCCACAGTGTTGATTGGATTTAATTACATGTTTATCATGTCTCAGTCACCAAACCCAAATTTTTAACAACCTGGATGATCATGTAGATACCCAGGTTAATGGAATTATTGCCCAATATCAACAGGCAGTGCTGCGGCAGAGCAAGGACCTTTTTATACTCTTAGTCCTCAACACCTCATTGAGAGGCAAGAGATTTAGTAAGAGTAGGAACCATTGGTGAATCTTTGTTCTCTCTCCCTATAATTCAGCCTCACGATGAGAATCATACCTGATGTTTTCTCTTTAATGATAGTAATGAGGATGAGATATACATCATTGGGAGCATATTCTAGAGTGATTCTTTATTAATCTCAAATGTCTGTAAAGTATCTCAGTCAACAGTTCTGAAATCAAAATGGGGTATGGTCTAATGGTAAAGTGTGACAAAGTTTAAAAAAAGAAATTACAGTATCTGTGACATTTAAAGAATGAAATATTTTATGGATTCCTAATCTCATTTGTTGCACTAAACCTTAGTGTTAACACCTCAGATTCTTGGACTCTCAAAAGCCCCCAAAGACAAAAGCCCCCGAAGAATTGATAAGTCACAAAGTAATACACATACCAAACTAACATTCTAAAACATTAAATGTTTCTGGTAACTAAGGAAATACAAACTAAAATATCAAGTTGTCATTTTTCTTTACCAAAAGTTTTTTGAGGAGCTGGGGTTGTGGATCAGAGATGGAGCACTTGCCTCACACATGTGAGGCACTGGGTTCAATCCTCAGCACACATAAGATAAATAAATAAAGTAAAGGTATTTGTGTGTCTACAACTAAAAAAAATTTAAAAAGAAAAAAAAAGTTTGTTTTGAAGCTGGGCACAATGGTGCACACCTGTAATCTACTCAGGAGGCTGAGGCAGAATGATTGCAAGTTCAAAGCTAGCTCAGCAATTTAGTGAGGCCCTAAGCAACTTAGCAAGACCCTGTTTCTAAATAAAATATTTAAAAGGGCTGGAGATATGGCACAGTAATTAAGTACCCCTGGGTTTATTCCCTAGTACCAAAAAAAGAAGAAGGAAAGGAACTTTTTTTTTAATATTTATTTTTTAATTGTAGTTGGGCACAATACCTTTATTTTACTTATTTATTTTTATGTGGTGCTGAGGATTGAACCCAGGGCCTTGCACATGCTAGGTGAGTACTGTACCGCTGAGCCAAATCCCAGCCCGAAATCCCACAATACTACAATCCCACTGTATCACAGGGGCAACACAATTAAATCATATTATGTACATATCAATCTTTTTTTGTATCCATGCCTAAAATTTATCTAATAGTCTCCTGTTGGTGTACACATTAATTTTTTATTATTATAAGTAATGCTGTAATAAACACCCTGTGCAGAAATCTTTTTATTCATCTCTGATTATTTTATTAAGACCAGTTCCTAGAATTGCTATTGCTGACTCAAAGCATATTACATTTTTAAGGCTTTTGATTATCTGTTGCCAAGTTGCTAACCAGAAAAGGTTATATCAAGTGCATGAGGGTACTGATTCATCTATTCTCTTATCTATATAATTTATATTGTTTTATCTTTGCTAAGACACTCCAAAATAGTATATCATTATTTTAATTTGTACTTCTTTGATTGATAATGAAAACTTACTATGACCTAATGAAATACCACAAATTAAAGAAATCTCTTAGCCAGGCATGGTGGTACATACCTATATTCCCAGTGACTTGGGAGGCGGAGGCAGGAAGATTGCAAGATTTATGGGCAAATTTATGAGATCCTGTCTTATAAAGTGTAAGAAAAACAGGGCTGGATTCATGAGTGAAATACTCCTTGGTTTAATCGTCAGTACCACAAAATAAAAGAAATGTCTTCATTGTAGGGACTAGAGGTACATATATCTCAGTGGTGGAGTGTGTGTACTTGGCCTTGATTTTAGTCCCCAGCACCAAAAAAGGAAAAAAAAAAAAAGAAGAAAATTCTTTATTGACACACTATTTATGAGAAAACAAATATGTACACACACGTACATAGCAGTTTAAGTAAATTGTGATATTTCTAAACCATTAAACTATATACCTATGTAACATTAAATATATTTTTCTCGACATAGAGAAAATATTCATTTTATAATATTGGCAAAGCAATTAGAATGGTGAGTTTTTAAATGTAATTTGGTCTCTAACTTACTCTTCTTAAATGTATAAAGAAAAAAATCCTGAAAGGAAGTAGCCAAAATGCAATTGCTTCTTCATAGTGATAACTGGGTTTTTTTAATATTTACTTCTTTTAGTTGCACACAATACCTTTGTTTTTATTTATTTATTTTTATGTGGTGCTGAGGATCAAACCCAGAGTCTCACATGCGCTAGGTGAGTGCTCTACCACTGAGCTACAACCCTAGCCCAAAGCTTTTTTTTTTTTTTTAAATACTTGTAGATAGACAGCATGCCTTTATTTGGTGCTAAGGATTGAACCCAGTGCCTCCTCACACATATTAGGCAAGCGTTCTGCCACTGAGCTTCAGCCCCAGCCTAATACAATAGAACAGCTTTTTTTTTGGTGGTGGTGGTGCTGGGGATTTAACCTAGGGCCTTGTGCATGCTAGGCAAGCACTGTACCTATTGAGCTATATCCCCAGCCTGATAACTGATTTTTTTTATAATTTGTAACTTTGAAGGTTTTTAATTTTTATAGTGAACAGCACATTTGTGAAGAAAATACACTCTTGACAGGAGGGGAGAAGAAAAACTGACCACCTGCAACTTGTGCAGCATTGTTTTGTTTTGTTTTGTGGTACAGGGGTTTCAACCAGGGGTACTTAACCACTGAGCCTGAGCCAAATCCCAGCCCTATTTTATTTTATTTTGGGAGAACTGGGGGTTGAACTCAGGGGCATTGACCTCTGAGTCACATCCCCAGACCTATTTTGTATTTTATTTAGAGACAGGGTCTCACAAAGTTGCTTAGCACCTCGCTTTTTGCTGAGCCTGGCTTTGAACTAGCGGTCCTCCTGTCTTTGCCTCCCAAGCCACAGGGATTACAGGCATGCATGCCTGGCTCTTCTATAGTATTATTCTAAAGATAATATTAAACATTTTATATTTATGACAGAAACAGATGTAAATAAGACACTGGTAAGCAGTAAAATAGCCAGTTATAAAGTTGTCTAAAAACACATTCCACTTGCTTGAGTAGCTGTTGCTGGAACCACCTGAAAATGTAATGCTGAGTATGACAATTTTTCCTGTTTAGGTAGCTGCTGTTGATCTTCTTGTTCCTGGAGTTGGAGAGCTCTTTGGAGGCAGCCTCAGGGAGGAACGGTATCACTTCTTAAAGCAACAGCTGGCCAGGTATTCTGACTTAAAAGAAGGACATGTCAGAAACTGGGATAGAGTTACCCAAAGATAGTTACAGAAAGTACCAGAAACACACATGGGACCTACAGACCTGGATCTCAGATTCTATTGCCTTAAGCAAGGTGTTTCTAACCTATCTGAGCTTCACTGTCTTAAAGACCAAACAAGCCCACAGCAGTGTTTGCCTGTACATAGGTGTGGAAAGTAGCCTTTTTAAAAATTAATGAAAGGAAGAGGGATGTTTCCCCCTCAGAGCTTGTCCTACATTTTTCTTTTCCCTTTTTACGTATTTTTAGTTATGAATGTCAGACTCCCACGGGAACATAAAGACAGATCAAACCAGGAAAAGGATAAAGATGGAAAAAGAAAATTACTAAAAATATCTGCAAAGCTAGCACTTGGAATAAGCAGATTTCCCTTCTCAGGTTGTCTCCTCTATATGGATCTTGATTTAGCTATTTGAATAACTTTATTTTAAACTGCTATTGGAGACCTGGGAAAGGGCTCCATAAACACATAGAAAATGTTTTGGAGATGGGAAGGAGGGAATCATATTTCTAATTGAACTACCACTCCTTGTGTATGCATGGTCTGCCAACAAACCACAGTGACTTCCTAAACTAACCAAGGTTATAAACCTCTGTTTTCCATGATTTCTACTTTGCTCTGCTAACCTTTAAAAAAAAAAAAGAAAAGACTTTCCCATGTCTGTATGCTAAATCCTTCTTTCCAGATACTACTAGGTTTCTTTACAACCTGGGAAAGCCTTAATTGTTTGAAAATATCCTATTGAATTAGCCATTTGTACGACCTCTACGACCTCTTTTCCAAATGGAGAAACGCTTTAAAAGTTGATGCTTTTCCAAGATCCCAACCTGTAAATCTCTTGGGTAGTGCAGTTCTCCGATTCCTATCTTCTGAACTGCTCTGCTATGTTAGGTTCCAACAGAAGTGGGGTAAATAGGTTCTGAGAAGACCCTTTATTACCTGTGCCCTCCTTACTCCTACTAAAGCATTAGAAAGTCCTGGGAAAGTCGTAGAATTGAAGTGAAGGTCATATTTTTAGATGGAAAGTATTTGAATGTTCACTGAGGTTTTTTTTAATATTTATTTTTTAGTTGTAGTTGGACACAATACGTTTATTTTATTATTTATTTTTATGAGGTGCTGAGGATTGAACCCAGGGTCTTTGCCGTGCAAGGCGAGTGCTCTGCCGCTGAGCCACAATCCCAATCCCATGAGTTATTTTTTTAAAGCACAGTAAAACTCACGTGGCAAGAAACCTCATCTGTTGAAAGATTAATTGGTCTGGTTTTTTTTTTGCTTGCTTCCTTCCTTCAGGAAACCTTTCCTCATAACATTAAATGTTTACCTAATATTTGATACTGTCCAAATTTACCTTTCCTAATGAAGTAGAGATATGTTTCCCTATATCAGGGATCTGTCTGTGGCTGCTGTTCTTATTTTCTATACTTTTGTATATTACATTTTTCAGCATTCTCATGACT